AAAAATCGCCGAAGAAGAAAGAAAAGACAGACAGACACACAGACAGAGACGGAGAGACGGGAACACGCCTTTCCAATAACGGAGAACCCCTCAGCAGACTGTATTTACACCTTGATGAAGTCTCGAGCGTCCAACACCAGACGCTAAAGTCATACCCCCCCCCCCCCCCATCCTGGACCCTTCACACACTCACACAGACACATTTTCCCATTTGTCCATTACTAATGTTGAGCTTTTAAAAGTACTGGTCTTTTCATTGTCCGCAGTTGAGACGTTCTCTCTCTCTCTTCCTCTTTCTCTCTGCCTCTTTGTCTCTCTGTCTCTGTCTCCCCCCTCCTCCCCTTCTCTCTATGTCTCTCTCTCTCTCTCTCTCTCTCTCTCTCTCTCTCCCGATTTGCTTACAGCCTATATGATATGTTATACTGTTGCTGGTACCGAGATTAAGACAACCCATTGAACCACAGAGTGCAATCATGAATGTATCAAATGTGTTTGCATTATGTTCTGACGCGGTCCATCTGTGACTTTGGCATAATAATATGTGGTAGATCAAGTAAAAATCAGGGTTGCAGGAATCGAAAAAGAATGAATTAGTAGTGTCTGGTGTATGTTACCGAATGTGTCCTCAAGTTTTGGATATTCTAATATTTTATATTTTTCATAATTGACTATACCAACGTTTTGTTTTTCGTCGTGCTTTTGGTTCATCTTTCGGTCTCTGGTTTCCCAAGTCCTTAAATCTTTTCAGAGGAAATATTTTGTCTTCTGTGAGCATTGGTAATTTGGCACATTTGTGGACCTCGGCGCCTTTAATTAGTTTAATACGGAATAATCTTCTTTGTCTTGCACAGAACAAAAGTCAGTTCGATTCACATGCAGGGAAGATATCTATTTTAATATAGTATGTCATTAAAGGGTGCGGTGGCGGAGCGGTTAGTGCGCTCGTCTCCGAAGCGGAAAGTGCGGGTTCGAGCCTCGATTTGGACACGGATTTTTTCGCCCTCTCCTGCCCACCCACCTGTAATGGGCACCTGACTTAGAGTTGGGGAAGTAAAGGCGGCCTGGAAAGGAACTGGCCACTCTACCATAATTTGACGAAGGCCCTGGAAGTTGTCTCACAAACAAGGAAACCCCAATGTCCGGATCGGATACGGGAACAACTTTACTTTTTTAGTATGTCAGTCTAACTGTTGGGATATACGATTATAAAGTTATACGACTCTGGTTTCCTTTGGCAGCCAGAGTGGAAGCCACTAGCTTACTGGGTTATCTAAACTTTCTCAATGGCTGTGTAAATCACTTACTATTATATACTGTCCTTATAGGTTGATTCTTTTTCTTTTTCTGTTGTACTCTTCATTTAGGACACGTTTTTATCTTATACCACCCAAACTGCAAAGGTATTTCACTTCTCAAAAGGGCGTGGAAAAATCAGCAGTAAGCTTGATCTGTCTCTTCGACAGAGGACACATTTTATCCGAGGCTTGGGTGCCGCTGTATGCCATTACTTCTTTTGCGTTAGCTCAGCAATTTGTCTCTGTTTCTTTCTTTTTCTCTGTGTCATTTTTCCTCTCAGCTCTTTTTCTTCCTCATTTGTCATCCAGGGTCCGACCAAGTATGCGCCCCATAGTGTGCCCCCTACTCAGAGAACAATTGACCTTGCCAAGTTGGGAGTACGTTAATTAAAAATGTTCGAGATATTTCAAGCTGTGCCGTTTTAACAGCAAAGGAAATAGAGCTATTTTTGTGAATCGCTTTAATCCTACCACTGTTGTTGCACGCAAAGACCTTTATGAATATAATATTATTTGGAATTATTCATATGCTTGTCTGACCTCAAGGTATCCGAAAAAGCGAGGGTGCTTTAACAATACTTCTTGAAGTGCAGTTCTAGGAGTGGTGTCTAGTAATATTTAGAAAAGATTGTTAAGTTGTGAGTTTACGAATTGATGCTACATTTTTAGTGACCTCTGGACCACGGAACCAAAAAGTTTTGTTTGACATTAATTAATTCTGAATAAATTCTCGTGACGGTGAGGGACTTTATGTCACAAACACCTGACGGCACAACTGGAAACAAAAAACGATTCTGTTTAGTGGACGTTCCCATGTATATAAGCCACAGAGTACCAAAACTAGACCCTAACAATGCGGTGTGCGTATTCGCTTCTAAAAACGTAACGAACTTCACCTTCAGATCACGGATTTAGAATCTGTTCCCACCTGGGCGATCTGTGAAGAATTTCGGCACCGTCGGTTGTGTTTTACTTTTTTTTCATAACGTGATCATGGTGGACGGAATGCTTAGCGTCCGTCATGGCAAGACCGTGTGGTCACTCAAGTCAATGGTCAAACGTATAGCGACGCTTGGCGAGTCTCGGCTTGTCTTGATGGCTGTGGACGGAGGAGAGGACGCGGACTATGCCTTTGAGTGTAAGTGATGAGAAAGCGCAAACAAATGATTTAATAAATTTTAATGCACAGGAAGTGAAGCAACTTACGTAAGTTTTTTTTGGACACTTTTGTGAGTGCGCTTGACCCGGGTCTTTTTTTTTTCGGGGGGGGGAGTGTATGCAAGGGAGAAGCAAACTCTTTAACAGTGTGAAAAATGTGAACGTCTCACAAAACAAATTGCATTCGGTTTTCTGTTATACGTGCGTACTTTTATACAAGTATAATGATTGTTCGTGTGATCAGTTGAGTGTTGGCACATACTGGTCCTTAGAAATGTTCTAAACAATATTATTATACTGAGCAGGACCTTCCAATTTATATCCGTATTCTATGATGTAGTTGTATGTAGAGTATTTTTTTCTGTCTTCCACATTACTTAGATTCTACGTGATCGGACATGAAACTACTTCTACTAAAGTTGAACGTAAAGTCTTTCGTCCTATATTATGACCAAACTACCCGTGTACCTTTCGAAACAAAACATGCGAAACTCGTCTTGTATCAAAACTTAGACAAAATCTTTTTTCCAGACAATAATAATAACATTCGAACCTCTTTGCCAGGAAGATGCGAAGCACTTTTCAACTTTTAACAATGGCCAAGCATCATAAAAACAAAGTAAAGCAAAACAAAACAAAATAAAACAAAACAAAAACGCCATTATAACTAACCTTTGGTGACGTCAGATAAAAACGATCAATAAGTGCATACGCTTTTAGGTACTGTAGCCAGTTTTCCAAATAACGTATTCTATGTCAGGAAGGACGTTGAAATGAAACAAAGCAAACAAACAAACCCAGAAAACAACAAACGAAGAAACAAGCAAGCAAAAGCAAGTTTAGTCACGCATCTGGGCGCAGGACTTACTTTACTTTACTTTACTTTTACTTTTTTCTTCCGCTTGTACCCTGGCCTGTCGCGGGGAGACACAGGTGTCTGTCTGCAGCAAGTCGTGTGGCCTGTAGGAGGGACATCCCATGATCTTTAAGGGTGTCTGCCACAGATTCACTCCATTTTTCCTCTCTATTATTTCCGTTTGTGTCTCCTTATGTTTTCTTGAGCAATGTTTATATCCACTGCCGGCCTGCTAAGCCAGTCGCAGTTTCACCAGAGCCCCGTTGGCCAGCAATGTTTCGGGGTGACCCGGGTCGGCCTTCACGGCTAGCGTAACGCCTCAGTGACATAAAGTCACACCGTACTTCACCCAGACCCAGCTATCCCCTACTTTGTCCTGTTTCCGTCTCCCACGGCGCAGGACAGAGACAGAATATTCCATAGTGGTATACATCAAGTTCTCATAAACTTTCGATGGAAACTTTCTTATAAAAATCACTCAGTCTACAAATTAAATCTTGTCTGTAGTTGCAATATTTATATCAATTTGTCTGAGCTACATATCCTCCTTTCAAAGGGGCTCGCATGTTTGACTATTGGCTCAAAGCATAGGCATAACAGCGAGACCTTTTTTATCTTCTTTTTAAACGATTAGAGGCTATTCACCGGATCGATTTTCATGATACCTCTAAACATTAAAATTCTATCGCCATAGCAACCTGTACACAAACCCTGCCTTTGTGCACCCAGTAGCAGTGTGCATACAATCTCTTCCATTACATGAGTAAACTATAAAGCAGTAGTCACAATTACTATATTCAAACGCTGAGGGGATGAAAGGATCAACATGGTGCTGAATCTTTTATAGATCAGGCCTTATCTGTCAGAGCATCCCTACGCTATTCATTCTTTAAACTAATCGAACTGTGCGGCATCGTCGTGAAATCAGGCGCTCGTCAAAATGGTGAAATCGGAGAAACCGGCATTTTCCAGGCCGTACAGCATTTTTTTTTTTCGAATGTTCCCTTGCCCCCTTTGTTCAACACTGTTTATGTTCATTAAAAATCACATTTCTGTATGAATATCACTGAAAAGTGTTGTTAAAATGCACAAATCTCGTAAATTTGTAGTTTCTAAGGACGTCCAAGCTTTAGAACTTTGGTGGCAATTTTCTTGCTAATTTTACTTCCGACACCAGGGAAACCCCACCTTCTTCAATTACAAATATTTCATCATCTATTCAAGACAAATGAGTATTTTTTTCCATCTAAAACAAGGCAAATGAATAAGCTTTAATATAATGCCAATAACTCAATAATTGACGAGCGCTTGATTCCACGGTGTCGCGACACTTATAGTTGAATACCTTAGCTACAGCCGCCCCCTGACAAACCCAGTAGTCTCTGAGGTGTATATTTGGTTAGAGCTACTCTTTCGTCAAATGCACCATTATATTTTCACTGATCCAGTGGCAATCCGCCTTTAACAAATCCAACTCTATTTTTCTCTTCAGAAGTGTGTTCCCTGGTATGGTAATCCATCAAAACTTTCAGCCCCAGTCTGCCGAGAATATGGCCACACATGTTCTTATACTGATTCCACTTAGAGAAAAAAAAACTTGTTTCGTCTTTTTTCATACATTTTCCTTAACGCCCCATCAAGTGGGGGAACAGTTGTTCTACTGTCAAAGTTAATGGTAGCAACTATTCAAAATCAAATGGGGAAAAATGGTGCATAGCGGAAAACCCCCCTCAACATCAAAACCAATTTCCATGGGTAGTTTAATGTTGTTGTTGTTTTTAACTCGGCTGGGTATCAATTGAAGGAACGCCCCACATGTTTAAGCACATTCTCTGCTGGTTACTAAAGGCGTTCAATTGCTAAATACACGAGAAAGTCCATGAACATTTCTAAACAAAGTAAAGACAAAAAAACATCTTTTAACCCCGCCCCCCCCCCTCCCCTACAAACTATTTTCAATGTGGTTAGTTTGTGTTTTGTTTTTTGTTTTGTTTTGTTTTTCATGCATTGTACCGTGTTATAAAAAAAAGATATTATATTTCTACCTATGCAAAGCATGTGCGCGTGTAGCTAAACTCTTTTAAACCACTCTAAACCCCCCCCCCCCCCCAACAATTTTTTTAAAAATCACCCCCTCTTTCTGATCCCTTTGAGCAGGGTATGCAACTCACTTCCACAAGGCGGAGAACCGACTGCTGCTCGTCCACTGCCCAGAGACCTTCGCTAACGTGACCATGATGAGTAAGTGCATTCTCCACTAACGAGTCCACAGACCCAAAAGGTGTTATTTGCATGTTATACATAATGTATGAGCAGATGGAAGCTTTTAACCTTAGACCTTTGCTTTGTTTTTGTTTCGTACGCATGTGTTTCCGTGGTGACTATTCTTGAACGAAAAAAACAGAAAGTACAACCAAAAACGGAAACTACTAATGAAAAACATGACACTCATGTGTTTTCTATAAATGGCTGTATGAGTGAGGTTAGCTTGTGCTTGTACATGTTGGGTGCGTCCTGTTTGTTTTGGTTTGAATTGTACCCAATGCACATTGTTAATTGAATTTAGTCAAATTTAGTCGGGGCCAAGCACAGTTTCCTCCATGGAGGAGTAAAAGCTACAATTTTCCAAACGATCGGATGTGTACTGCCATCTACAAAGCCTGTAGTCAAAGATCGAAGCACAACTTCAAGATAATTTTCTTTTGCCCACGAATGGCAATGGACAGTATGGATTTGGACAGGTGACCACTAGACCTAGAAAAAAAAACTATCAAAATTTCCCATGTCTGCAGGATGTGAGAGAACCGCTAAACACAGCAACCGATATATGCGGCAGTCGGCACATAAAGCCGTGATGGAAGGAAATGGCTGTGTTTGGAGCGATAATATTAACACTGCACGCCGATCAAAAGTTTCCTATTCTTGCCCAGTGTGACACAACAAGGGGTAGGTCTGTTCGTAGTGTGTTCTGAAGCCGTCATTTATTGACCTCACCTGACCCGGGCCAATTCTGACAATTGGCACCTCGTATAAAAAAGTACATCGATACGGAAACAGTAATTTAATGCGAATAAAGAGTAAGATATCCGGTCAGGAAATAAATGGAGAGAAGAAATTTAACAGGACCTACCAATGGTGCCCTTCAACCAATCTTTTAGGTGTGTTATTAACTCACTTAATGTCAAATTGGGCTATAATGCGGATGGCTGTGGTGCACTCCATGCGATGTTTTTGAAGTTACTTTGGTGAGTTTGCAAGGCAGTCCCCTTGTTATTGTGTCCTTTCGGAGATGGACACTAAATTTGAATATGCGCCTCATAGAAAATCTGAGAGTACTAAAAGAGGCTTTTAAACACTTACCACAATGCCTATCTCTTAACATTGCACATTGATGTGGTCAGATGAACGAATTCTCCATCTTTTGGGCTTGCTTTGAAAATAGTTAACTGTTAATTAAATTTTTTAAATATTGCAAAAGTTTTACTACCCATATAGTAGGTTGTCGGAAGTCAGGAAAAAACAAAAACCATTTTAACTGCATTCAGAAAAGTGTGCAGAATTGGCCAAACGCTTCCACACTTACGGTAATTAATTGGCACATTTGGTACTAGTAAAACACTAGCTTCGCTAGCGTGGATTTAAAATACAAGGGAGAAAGAGGAAGGGAGAGAGATAAGTTGTGGGGGGAGGAGGGTGGGAGGGAAAGAAAAAAGAGAGAGAGAGAGAGAGAGGGGGGGGGCTTTCCCGGGAAAAAAATAATATTGGCACTCACGCAAAACATACAGCATAGTGCCGCATAAATTTGTCTGTCACTGTCTTGGCCTCTATGTTCCATTCTGTTGTGGCTCCAGAATATCCTCCCTTTCATTGAACAATGTTTCATTAGCCCGGCTTCTTGGCAGGAGGCTTGAGGAACGGGAGTGAAAGGGATGTCGAGTATGGCGTTAAAATTAAACACCCCCACCCCCTTTCCCCTGAACAACAAACGATGTCTTTTAGTTTTGCTTTCGTAAGAAAACCAGATAAATATTACACGCTGTCAGGGAGTTTTTAAATTGCCTGTTTTATACATTAATAAACGTATCCAGCTTGTGTCTCGGGTACTTCCCGAGAGAAAAAAAAACATACAAAAGGCTGTTTATTTTGCAGCTTCCTGTCCATATTGACCACACATCCCCAGGATAAAAGGAAGCTATAAAGGGAATAATGGTGAGGCTGGAAAACTTGTAATCGGAACTCAGGATCGATGGCTCCGGATATAGAAGGGGTGCGGAAAACCGGAAATTATTTCGAAAAGTAAACTGGGAGTCATCTGCCTGGCTCAGGAATCGCTGTGTACAGAAGCCAGAGGGAAGTTTAGGTTTTCTCTCACAGTCCTTAGAACATTGGAACTTTTTATTGGGTGAAGGCGCATGCTAGTCGGGTTTTTTTTAACAATTTATTTAAACAAGTTCTTTAGATCGTTGACCTTAGCATGTTTCAATTTCCTATGGTTTTAAGTGAGGATGACATATTCATTAGGTGGACAGATACGAACATTTTCACAATTACAGTTACATCACTTACAGACACATACACAAACACACGCACACACACACACTCTCTCTCTCTCTCTATCTTTCTCTCTCTCTATCTTTCTCTCTATCTTTCTCTCTCTCTCTCTTTCTCTCTCTATCTTTCTCTCTCTCTCTCTCTCTCTCTCTCACACACACACACACACACACACACACACACACACACACACACACACACACTAACAGAGATGGGGTTGGGTGGGGCCTGCAAAGCTTCTATGTTGATGAACTATATTTCATTTTATTGATATTCATCATGAAATGTCAAACAGAACTTTTTAAAAAAAGGAAAAAAGTAATTCATTTGCAAAGCCCCTCCTCTTATTTCTGATTTGATTAGTTACAGACATACATCTTTTCTCTGAGTTTACTAATCAGTGTTTCTCTGAAAAAAAAATCATCCACAACGAACCTCTTCTCTTTGAAACCAGCATCTTTTAGGCGCTTCATCGCTTTCACGCAGGGGAGAAAATTTTTATCGAGTATTTCAGTCCTTCTGCCTCCTAAATTATCTAAATTGTGCTAATGGGGACGTAAAACACCTTTTAAAAAAGATTCACCTTGAACGAGCTTTGGGAGTAAAAGAAATGACTATAGAGCGACTCAGTGTAAATAATCTTCTTATCATTGATTGCAAAACTGTATATCTCTAAGTGAACTGTAATATCAAGAGCTGTAAGATTCCTTACCAGATTAACAAGCATTATTAGTAAAAGACAGAAGACGTCTTTCTGAAAGATATTTTCTAGTGAGAGCCAAGAAGCGCCCGTCTGAATTAACATCGGCTAAAATTCTTCCTGTACAAAGTTTATTGTCACAATCTAAAAAGTGTTTTGCAATTTCAGTCTTTTTATGTCATCTGCAGGCCCTGGCAAAGTCCAAGAACTGATCAAAGAGTGCGAGCTGAAGATCAAGTCGATACAGGACAAATATCTGGACAAAATGAAGGCCCTTGGGGTGAGTAATTATTAAGCAGGATAAAAACACTTTGTCGGTGAGCATACCTTTGCCAGTGGGTCCTGTTCTTTCAATTTGTCGTTGGCAGTTAAACTGGACGTCCTATTTTAAGTTTCACCTTGTTGAACGTCATATCCCAGGTCAGACAGAGGGACAGACAGAGAGGAGGAGGAGGAGGAGGAGGAGGAGGAGG